AAACCCTACACCCTACACCCTACACCCTAAACCCTAAACCCTAAATGCCCTAAACCCTAAACGCCCTCAAAGCCCCGAAAAGCCCGAGGTTGCCCCACGCAGATGATCCTGGGCTCCACGCTGCAGCGCGAGTGCCAGCGCTCGCAGGCAAAGGGTTTAGGGTTGAGGGTTTAGGGTTTGGGGTTTAGGGTTTAGGGTCAAAGGGTTTGGGGTTTGGGTTTGGGGTTTGGGGTTTGGGGTTTGGGGTTCAGGGTTCAGGGTTCAGGGTTCAGGGTTTAAGGGGTTTGGGGTTAGCGGTTGGGGTTTGGGGTTTTCGGGTTTTAGGGTATAGGGTTTCGGGTTTTCAGGTTTAGGGTTAGGAGGGTCCCCAAAGGAGGGTCCCCAAGCCTCCCTTCTTACCTGGGTCCAGGCTTGGGGTTTAGGGACCTCTACGTACCAAGAACCCTAAGCCCTAGGGCCCTAGGGCCCTAGGCCCTAAGCCCTGAGCCCTAAGCCCTACATGCTAACCCCTAAAAATGACATTGCACCCATGTTTGGAGAGATTGCACTGAGCAAGGGTGGTGACGCCATGCTCTTAGACCCAAAGCGTTCATCTCTAGTTTTCAGCCCTGGCTTTTGCACACTTTTGGGGGGGTCAGAAGAATTACGAAGAGTATTCCCTTATGGTCCCTCCATAATTATACTATAGCAAGCCCAAGGCCCACTATTCTCACTATAGGGTCAGACTAGTTGCTAAGAGTATTCCCTTATGGTCCCTTTATAATTATACCCAAACGCCTATTCTAATCATTAAAGGCCCCCTATATACTATAATAACCCCCTATATACTATAATAACCCTCTATATACTATTACTATAATAACCCTCTATATACTGTAATAAACCCAAGACCCACCATTCTAATCATTGAAGGCCCCCTCTATTAAACTTCCGAAGGTGTTTCGAAGCATCCTGCAGCAGATCTTGGTCAAGAAGGGCGGCTTTCTGTGGGTGGGGGCCTTGAAACGTTCGGTCATAGGCTTGAGGGTTCAGGGTTTAGGGTTTAGGGTTTAGGGTATAGGGTTTAGGGTTTAGGATTTAGGGTTGAGCCTTGAATGTAAGGGTAGTTTCAATGTGGTCCCTAACCTCCTTTAAAGGGTTCTGATTGATGTATGGGCCCCTCATGTGTACAGGGTATATGAGGTGTATATAGGGGCCTCTCAAGGGCAAATACTAAGAGACCATGTACAGTAACTACCCTTAGAGGTTTAGGGTTTAGGGTTGAGGGTTTAGGGTTACGGGTTGAGGGTTGAGGGTTTTGGGCCCCTTCTGCTCGGTAGGACCTTGGGATATTGCACCCTAAGCAAGCTTGGAACCTCAAGCCTGAGCCACTTTGTACGTAGTATCGCAGTCAGCTCACAGCATTCCAGGCAGCAAGCATGGCTGAAGATTCGCCCACCACAGACGAAGCCGGTGTTTTTGACTTCAGCCCTTCTCTTTGGCAGCTACCAATACTGATGCTCTGCCTTTGCAATGCGATGCTGGACAGTCTGGGATTCAAAGATAATGACACCAAGGTATTCGGTTGATCGTACGACGGAGATGTGATTTGTTTTCATTTGAAGATTGAATTTCAAATGCCTCGCATTTGTGTTAATCGTAGTACGTTTTTGTCGGGTCTTTCTATTTTGAGATCCATGCACGGTCAAAATGGCAAACCCTAAACCCTAAACCCTAAAACCTAAACCCGAAACCCGAAACCCTAAACCCTGAACCCTGAACCCTGAACCCTAAACCCTAAACCTCAAGACTCCAGAGCCCCTGAAGCCTTGTTTTACCTTACTGAGGCCATCTCGCCTCTTCCCTACCTGGGGCGATCCATGTGCCTGGCCTGTCTTTGGTGTTGTAAACAAAGGGGTTTAGGGTTTAGGGTTTCGGGTTTAGGGTTTAGGGTTTAGGGTTTAGGGCTAGTGGCTGGCCTGTCTTTGGTGTTGCAACAGAGGGGTCGGAAGAATTACTACTAGTATTCCCTGATGGTCCGTTTAGAACTATACTATATTATACTATATTAGGGTTTAAACCCTAAGCCCTAAGCCCTAAACCCCAAACCCCAAACCCTAAACCCTAAACCCCAAGCCCTAAGCCCTAAACCCTAAGCCCTAAACCCTAAACCCTAAGCTCTATTCTAATTATTCAGGCTCCTACATTGATTTTCGTGTCTCGTGTCGCAGCAGGGGTTTTCGGGGTTCGGGGTTTCGGGTTTTTGCGCAAGGGGTTGCAGCAAGGCTTCCGGGTATGCGGCTTCAGGGCATCAGAGCTTGGAGGGTTTAGGGTTTAGGTCCGCGAGTCGGCATCGGTGAGAGGTTGGAAACTTGAGAAGTGTAACCTATGGGTTACATGTATCTTGCTTAGGGTTATAGCCGCAGTGGCTGCTGGCCCTACCTCTACATCCACGCGCCTTCAAGTAGGTTGCTGAGCAGATTGCGTTTCTGTTTTGAAAAGGCAGGAAAGCTCAACCTTTGTGTTTTTTTACCTGTTGGGGCAAGGCTAATGCCAACTGCAGCTTGGTTTAGCACGTTTAACGGTCTTGGGGGGGGGGGCGGGGGTAAACACGCCCATTCATATGGCGACCTTGCCCAAAACATAGGCATTTTCGACATAACCCTAAACCCTAAACCCTAAACCCTAAACCCTAAACCCTAAACCCTAAACCCTAAACCCTAAACCCTAAACCCTAAACCCTAAACCCTAAACCCTAAACCCTAAACCCTAAACCCTAGACGGCTTAATTTATTCTCAAAATACGGAAGCCCTCAACTTCTTGGGTGCACCGGTGCACCTAAGGATGGTTCTGGGCCTCGACACAGTCAAGGCGGGCGAAGTGGCAACAATGGCAGTCAGGGTTTAGGGTTTGGGGTTTAGGGTTTAGGGTTTGGGGGTTTGGGGTTTAGGGTTTAGGGTTTAGGGTTTGGGGTTTGGGGGTTGGGGTTTAGGGTTTGGGGTTTAGGGTTTAGGGTTTAGGCTCCAAGCCCTAAACCCCCCACCTACAAAGCCCCAAACACCTTCAATTCTCAAATCCCTCCTGTCCCTTGCGTCCCTCTTTTGCATTCAAGCGCTTTTGGAGTATCTCAACATCATGAGTGCTTGGGTTTCAGGGGGAGGGAGGACGAGGAGGAGCAGGGGGCGGGGAGTGGGGAAAAGCGGGGACGGAGGACTCTATCTTTGAAGAGCCAGTGAACAATGTTCCTAAGCGAAAGCCGTCTCCAGAACAGCAAGAGAACGAAAATCGAAGAACAAGCCGACAAGCCAGGAAAGCTTCCTACTCTTTCCACAACACCCTCAATGGGAAACGAGTTTGGGGGCAGGGCCCATGGCCTCTGTCAACCCCAAGCCATGTTTTTTTCATAATACACAGAGGAATAAGGTCTAAGGGTAGAGACCCTAATCCCCGGCAGTGGCTTTCTCGAGGCAGTGGTTACAAAAAGGGGGCTTTTCAAGGCTTTAGGACCCTGGAGCCCCTAAACCCTAAACCCCAAACCCCAAATCGCCAGCAGGCCACGAAAGACTCGCCGATGCTCCAGGCTCTGAGCGCCTCATGCAATGTCCCGCGCGGCGAGTTTGAAATGCCAGAAGCCCCAAACCCTGCAAGATTCCCCTTAAACCGAAACCCTAGACCCGAAACCCTAAACAACCCTCAAACCTCAGCACCCGAACCCCCCCCCCTAAATCACTCCTCGCACAAAACCCCTTCGCCTCTCAAATCCGCCCACCCCTTCGAAGTCCTAAACCACCCGAAAAACAAGCCGTCCAATTTCCGCAAAGATGTTGTGACGGTAGAGGCTACAGTCTTACTTGAAGGTTCATGAGGTAGGGACAAGCAAGCTTATACTTAACTCTAAATTCTAGCCTCAATTCCGGCTAGAGGTAAAGGATTTACCCTAAATCCTAAACCTTGGGATGTTCCCCCTTATATTGACAGTCCCTAAATTAGGATTACGGCAAACCCCCCCCCCCCCCCCCTTTATAGTCCCTGTTCGTAGAAGGGAGAACATCCCAACCTAAACCTCAACACCCCAAACCCTAAACCCTAAACCCGAGGGCTTGCAATCTCAAGGAGGCTTGAAGAGCTGAAGGGGTTGAGGCGTCAAGGCTCCTGAGAAACGTGGCAGCAGACTACAAGTGCCCAACGGTGTGGGGGTTTAGGGTGTGGCTTAGGATGGTAGGGGCTTTTGTTTTTGGTTTCGGGATGTGGCATCAAGATCACAGACGACTTGCAGGGCAAGGCGACCAATCCACTCCTGGAATTGGGGCCTTCACTCTTGCGATGGCATTGGAAGGTGCTTTCCTACAGTCCCACCAGGCACAAGAGATATCCTCGTGGCGATCAATGAACTATCTGCTCCTAGGCAAGTGTGATGAAGGTCCCTAAACCCTACACCCTACACCCTAAACCCTAAATCCTAAACCCTAGCCCCTAAGACCCCTTCGCCCCAGAGTATGCCAGGTCCCCAAATCCGTAGCTAAACCTCCCTGGATGCCTCCCATAGTCCTTACATCTCCCGGAGTCCCTGACGTCAAACCCTTAGTCTAGGGTTCAAGGGCTTAGGTTCCAGGGTTGAGGGTTTAGGTTTTTTGATTTGGGGGTTTACGATAACAAGGGACCCCAAATTTCGACCCAAATCGCAGGATTCCTGTATAATCCGAGCTCCTGTTTAATTTAACCCCCCATATTTAAAGAAATTTTTTTTGCCCGGATTCCCGGAAGACTACTTTCCATTACGATGGATTTCGTGTGGGCCAAACCCTCCACATTTAAAGAAATTTTGTTGGGGGGGGGGTTGTCAAATTTTGAAACTCTGCCTTTCGGAAAGCTTCTTTTTTCTTCTGCTAAGGCTGTACCTCTCGCCCTGGCCAGGGGCTACAGCATAAAGAGGCTGCACCTGTTTCTCTGGCTCTGCTGCAGGAGGAAGCTTTCACTTCAGGGGCTACACTTCAGTTGCTACAGCAAAAAGAGGCTGCACCTATGTCTCTGGCTCTACTGCAGGCTCAGGCTGCACCGGATCTGCAGGGAGGTCCTGCAAGAAGCTTCACTTCGGGGGCCACACTGCAGGGGCTACAGCAAAAAAAGCTGCACCTGTGTCGCTGGCTCTGCTGCAGTCTGCACCGGATCTGCAGGGAGGTCCTGCAGGAAGCTTCACTTCGGGGGCCACACTGCAGGGGCTACAGCAAAAAAAGGCTGCACCTGTGTCGCTGGCTCTGCTGCAGTCTGCACCGGAGCTGCAGGGAGGTCCTGCAGGAAGCTTCACTTCGGGGGCCACACTGCAGGGGCTACAGCAAAAAAAGGCTGCACCTGTGTCGCTGGCTCTGCTGCAGGCTGCGCCGGAGCTGCAGGGAGGTCCTGCAGGAAGCTTCACTTCGGGGGCCACACTTCAGGGGCTAGAGCAGAAAAAAAGGCTACTGACAAGGCTGCATTGTGTGTCTGCCTGTGTCTCTGCAGGTGCTGGAGCTACTGCTGCATCTGCAAGGGGCTTCTGCTGCGGTGCTTTGGCCTGCTTGTCTCCATAGGCTGCAAGCTGTGCAGCCCTCTGCACCTTGCTTCGCTGGTACAGCACTGCACCACTGGCTCCATACATGTGCTCCATGTCGAAGCCTTCCTTCTTCAGCCAGTACCTGGTGGCCTTCCATTTGCTGCAGGAGAGGCAGCCATCTCCTGTCCTGCATCTTGAGCAGGTGCCTCCAGTGTACCCCTCCAGGATCTTCAGGACCTGGCACTGCCCGTTTGCAGCGAGGTTCTCGAAGCACGGCTTGCCTGCAGGGTCCTTCAGGAGGGATTCTGCAGCTTTCTCTGCAAGGTCCTTCATGTCGCCCTCCTGCATCTTCTTTTTGGCTGCAGCCAGCTTTGCCTTCGCTTCAGCCAGAATCTGCTTCTCTTGGGCCTTCAGCTTGGCTTCGTCGATCTTGCCCTGCTCCTTCTGCAGAGCTTTGCAAAGCGACTGCAATCTCGCAGCCCAAGTGGCTGCAGTGGGCCAGTGGCTCCTGCACCTCTGCTCCACCCAGTGCAGGCAGTACGAGCCACACTGGCCCGTGCCTACAGGTTGGCGAGCTGCATTTGCTCTTGCCGGCAGGTGCACCCCTGGCAGCAAGGTCTCCAGGAAGAACTCTGCCACCTGTCGAGAGGCTGCCGACTCCACCTGCAGGCTGTCGTAGTACTTCACCTGCAGAGAGCCAAGTCTGCAAATCTCCACAAGGGTCCAGTGGTGGCCGGCGAAGATCGGCACGAACACCAAGTCCTTCTGCAACTCTGCCTCCAAGAATGCTCTCCTTCGCTCCTGCATTTCCCCGGCTGCCTGAAGCCACTCTTTATCTCCCAATCCCTCCAGATTGGTTGTCGGATCTGCAAGTGCGATAAAGGACTGCACCACATCTGGCCTCAGAAAGCTCACGGAAGCGGCCTTCAAGCCTGGGAGACTCCATTGAAGGAACAGCCAGGCTACAGTCATGTGCTGGTCCAGCAACCAGCTGCCATCTGCTCGTGGCACCTCCACATCGTCTCCAAGGTCGTCTCCAAGAGTCTTCAGGGCAGCTTCACGAAGCCACATCTGCATGTCTGACCGCTTCAGAGACTGCAAGGTCAGCATCTTCAGGTCTGGCAAGATGCTGGTCTGCTCCAGGAACTCCCTCCTGAAGGCCTGCGAGCCAGGCTGCAGGTCGACATTGAGCAGGTCGGCACTGCCCTGCCAAGCCGACAATGCCACCGCACCTGTTCTGCCGTAGTACTGCTTCCCTGCATGTTCCGAGCAAACCGTCACCTGCACTTTCTCCTCTGCTGGGTCTAAGGGCTCGGCTGCAGGCGGGGCCGGCGACTCGGACTCCAACTGCTTCAAAGCCTCTTTGCTGGCCTTCAGGGCCGCCTTCTGCTTCTTGTCCTTCTTCATGGACTTCTCTGAGGCCTGCCTCTGCAGCTTGCCTTTGCCTCCAGCGTACTTCGACTGCTTCTTCAGCTCGGTCTTCTTCTGGTTCTTCTTCTCCTGCTTCTTCTGCTTCTTGCTCTTTTTCTGCAAGGCTTTCGCGTCCCCCTGCAAGGCTTTCTGCTGCTCCTTGGAGGGTCTGCCGGGCTGCAAGAGACCCCCACTGCAGTAGGCGCCATGCTCTTCAGAAGCTCGCTTCTGTTGCGTCTTCCGCAACTCCTGCAGCGCCTCTTTGGCTGCCTTCAGCTCCTTGCGCTTCCTCTTCTGCTTCACCCTGTTCTTGGCCTGCTGCTTCTGGTCTCGCTCTCGCTCGTCTGCTCCAGGCTGCAAGGCTGCTCTCTTCAGCCTCCTCTGCACTTTGGTGTCGAGGCTCTGGAAGTAGGGCAGGGCCTGCAGCAGAACTTCCTCTTCCAGTTCTTCGACTTCGACTTCAAGGTGCATCTCCAGCAACTTCTCTCCATTGAACCTGGCTCTGCTATAGCCTTCATGGTGACAGTAGGCGATCTCGGACTGGGCTGCACGAAGCTTCGCGTCCTTCAGCTGCTTCAAGGCTTCATCTCGGTGCCTTCTCAGCCATGAAGAGACCTCTCCGCTCCAACCACGTGCTCTGCAACCGGTAGCTGCCTTGGGGCAGCTCGGCTGCCCAGTCCTGCTTCGCTGCGAGCACGAGCTTCTGCCTCCAGTGCAAGTAGCCATTTCGTCGGAGGCACGGCAAGCTCCACGGTCTCTGCTCCTCTCTCTCCATCTGCGAAGCCCAGGCTGCATCCAGCATGCGAGCAAGCGAAGCAACACTGCACTTGAAGGTGGGTCTGCAGCCAGTGGCAGCAGCAGTCTGCTTCATTCTCTTCTTTTCTTCTGCTTGTGCTGCCTTCAAGCTCGCCTTCAGACTCATTGCGAAGTCTGTATCTGTAGGCTGCACCAGGTCGGTGATGCCTCCACGGATCTTCACACCGATCTGGCGGGCGAGCTTCATGGAGACCTGCACTTCTGGACTCCAGCTGGACCCCACAGAGTCTCGAACCCAGATGCTGCATGGGAACTGCTGGCCCTGCTCCTGCAACATCCACTGCTGAATGACTGAATCCGTCACCGCAGCTGGCTGCCCGTAGATCTCCCAGTTCTGCAGCAGCCCCTGCGATCGGATCTTCCTCCAGGGCTCCAGGATCCTGCCTGCACTGCGGCCTTTCTCCCTCACGAAGACTTTGCCTGCAGCTTCAAACTGCTCGTTCTCTTTCCACGTTCCATCTTCAGCAATGTTGCTCAGTCTGCAATGGCTCGCAGTCTTCACTATCAAAGCCGGTCGCCGCTGCTCGGCTTGAGGGTCTGCGCCTGGCTTCAAATAGTTCTTGAGGATCAGGCGATGCTCCACAGTGCACCTCCACTTCTCGTCTTCGGAAGCACCTACACCTCGCCGCAAAGTGGTGTCTCCACCACTTTGCTCGGCCTGCAAGACCTGGACCACAGCCTTCTGAACTTCTGCCTCTTCTGCCTTAGCAGTGTCTGCTTCAGTGTCTGCTGCCCCCTGCTCATCCTCTATCTCCTTGGCGTGCTGCAGGAGGTCTGAAGCTTCTGCGACGGCCTTCTGCATCCTCTCCTCCTCCAGCTTCTTGAAGTCTGCTGTCTTCAGCCGAGAGCTTTTGGCCTTCTCGAACTCTGCAAATATCTGCGGGCCTCGACTCATCTTCAACCAGCAAGGTATCTGGTCGCTCCACCCGATCACCAGGTCCTCCCGTCGGGACACAAAGTCTGCAGGAGAGTCCACGAACTGCTAAAGGTCTGCCTCGCTGCCGAATGCTGTGAGTTGGAGAGCAGCGTCGAACTCCATCCAGGTTTCCATGACATTCTGCTCTTCTTCCTGCATCGTGAGCGTGGTGAGGCGGCCCGGTCGGTGCAGTCGCCCCTTCACACTCTTCAGCAGTCTGGCTCCAAAACTCTTTCTTTTCACCAGGTTCTCTGTGAGCCTCTGCAGTCTGTCCTTGCATTCTGCAAGCCTCTGCTTCGCTTCTATGTCCGGCAGGCCCTCCACATACTCTTCAAGATTCTGCACGAGCTCGAAACCAGGCAGGTTGTACTCCGTCTGATCAAGCTCTGGCTTCTTCACAGGGGCTGCATAGCCTTGCTCCTTCCTCTGCAGAAGGGTGACTTCGTCCTGCAGGTCGTCCAGAAAGGCCTCCAGCAGATCGGTACCGTCCACTGCATGCTGCATCATTCGCTCTCTCTCCAGCCAAGCCTTGACTCTCTGCTTGTTGGCAGCAAAGGCATCTTTCCTGCCTGCGCCCTGCTTTCTGCACCCTCGGCCGAGCATGTTCCCTCGCTTCAGATGCTGGTTCGCTACTCCATGTCTCTTCGTCTGCACGTGGGCTCCAAGCTGCAGCTGTTTGGCTCGCTCATGCCACACTTCACGATTCTCCAGGATTTTCTTCAGAGTCTTCCATGGCTTCTGGTAAGTCGACACTGCAACACGCTTGAACTCGGCTGGGCTTGCTGCAGCCTCGCTCAGCTTCACGAGTTCGTCTGCAAGGACGGCCTTGGTTCCTGCAGTTTCTTCCACTCGCCTCCTCTTGAAGGAGGCTCTGCTCTTCTTCGCAAGGCCTACAACCAAGTCCTGTGTCTGCACAGGCTGCTTCCTTGGTGCGCCAGGCGTGCCTCTCAGAGCTGCATGCTCTCTGATCTTCTGCTGCAGCTCTTCAGGCGTCAAGAGAACCAGCTGCTGTCCTGCCGCTCTCGCTTCCTGCAGCTTACTTCTTGCTTGCTTGTTCTCCAGCAGTCGCTGCAGCATTGTCGGTGGTGCTGCAGCCTTCACCTTGAAAAAGCTACCTAGAGTACTTTGCTTCTGCAGCTTCGCCTGCTTGTCTTCAGCTTCCTGCACCTCTTCAGGAGAAAAACAGATGTTTTTTTAATTAAGAAGTACGTGCGACAGCAAGCAAACTTTCCATAAATGTGAACCATTAACATAATAGCGCCAGAATTATGGGAGGCCCTGGCCCGTGGGGAGCCCTGGTCCTGTAGTCTTTAAAGAAGCCTTGAAGCTTAAAAGGAAAAGCTTTAAGGAAGCCGGGGCTTCGGTTTTCTGGAAGCTGAGGGCCTTCAGAAAGCAAGGATTTCTTATGTGATTGCTTACTGGAGGAGAGAAATTTTCATTCTTTCCTGAGCTACCCCTTACGGGCTCTGGCCGGGAAAGGCGGAGTCACATTTATAGAATGGGGCCAGAATTATGGGAAGCCCCGGCCCGCGGGGGGGAGCCCTGGTCTTGTAGTCTTTAAAGAAGCCTTGAAGCTTAAAAGGAAAAGCTTTAAGGAAGCCGGGGCTTCGGTTTTCTGGAAGCTGAGGGCCTTCAGAAAGCAAGGGTTTCTTATGTGATTGCTTACTGGAGGAGAGAAATTTTCATTCTTTCCTGAGCTACCCCTTACGGGCTCTGGCCGGGAAAGGCGGAGTCACATTTATAGAATGGGACCAGAATTATGGGAAGCCCCGGCCCGCGGGGGGGGAGCCCTGGTCTTGTAGTCTTTAAAGAAGCCTTGAAGCTTAAAAGGAAAAGCTTTAAGGAAGCCGGGGCTTCGGTTTTCTGGAAGCTGAGGGCCTTCAGAAAGCAAGGATTCTTATGTTTAAGCTGAGACCCTTCAGAAAGCTATGGAAAGCATGCTTGCTGTCACGGCTCTATTTAAAAACAAACAGGCCTTGGCGGACAGAACAAGTCTGCTGTCTTCGGTCTGCTGTCTTCGGTCTGCTCCTCTTCACTTTCAGAAAGAACCACCTCTCCTGCCTGCTGCAAAGCAGGTGCTGCTCCAAGCACCTGCAACACATCGGTTGCTGGCAGCAATCTACTTTTCTCACCTAATTACCACTGCAGAGCTGCTCAGAACAGAAGTTTCACTGCAGTTCTTTAATACAATCGCTTCACTGCCTGCAGCTTCAAGCTGCGAGTCTGCATCTCCACACACAAGCATGCTGCACACTCTGCGAACATAAGAGAAACCATCACAAGACTGCACAGTGGCTTCAAGTTTGGCTGCCGCCTCCTCACTACACATCTGGCAGCAAGGACTCTGCAGATTCGCCTCCGTGCTGCAGGCAGGGGCAGCTGAGTCTGCGCCCAAAACCATCACTGCATCTGCTCTTCGTGCCAGCCGCTCTGCTCCATCTTGCTGCAGCAACAAGTAACTGGCAGCATGTCTGCAGCAGACCTTCAGCATCACCAGACCATCTGGCTCAGCAGGTCCTGGTATCTCCAGAAAGACCAACTGTGCAGCACCTTCACAGTACTCACAGTCTGCAGCATCTCCATGGTCTGCAGGGACTAGCAGGTCTCTATCATCATCTGCAGCTTCGACCATGACGAAGCCGTCGTCTGTCTCCATGGCTGCATCGTGGCCACTGCTCATCATTGCAGTCTTCTGCACTAGTTATCTACTTCACTGCAGCAAACACAGCTGCTGCACTTCTTCATGTTTCTTGTGCTGCCTCTTGCTGCAGTCTTTGCTCGTCAACAAAACCCCAAAACCCTGCAAGCCTCTGCAGCACCTCGGGCTTCATCTTCACATCCAGCCTGCAGTGCGGTTTAGGGTTTAGGGTTTAGGGTTTAGGGTTTAGGGTTTAGGGTTTAATTTAGGGTTTAGGGTTTAGGGTTTAGGGTTTAGGGTTTAGGGTCTGGGTTTAGGGTCTAGGGTCTAGGGTTTAGGGTTTAGGGTTTAGGGTGGGTTGGCTTTAGGGTTTAGGGTTTACGGTTTTAGGGTTTAGGGTTTACAGGGTTTCGGGCTTAATTAGGGTTTAGGGTTGACGAAACCCTAATTAAACCCCAAACCCTCAACCCTCAACCCTCAAACCTAAACCCATAAGCGCCTAAACCTTAAACCACTAACCCTAAACCCTCAACCCTCAACCCTAAACCCATAAGCCCCTAAACCCTGAACCACTAACCCTAAACCCTAATTAAACCCGAAACCCTCAACCCTCAAACCTCAACCCATAAGCCCCTAAACCCTAAACCACTATGCCCCAGACCCTAAACCCTCGACCCTACTAAGCTCTAAACCTGAAGCTTTAAGCCCTGCACGTGCTCATGCCTGAAGGACGAAGTGAAACTGCCAGACACTACGCGCCGCGTCTGCATTAGATCAAGTGAATGAGTTCGTAAGTGTGCTTGAGTGAGTGAGTGAGTGTGAGTGAGTGAGTGTGTGAGTGATTGTGAGTGAGTATTGAGTGAGTGAATGTGTGTGTGAGTGAGTGAGTGTGTGAGTGAGTGAGTGTGAATGTGAGTGAGTAAGTATGAGTGAGTGTGAGCGAGTGAGTGTGAGCAAGTGTACCCACCCCCCAGGTCCATGGTCTCTAACCCTAAACCATAAACCATTTCTAACCCGAAACCCTAAACCGGGCATTGCTTGATGCCTTGGGGGGGGAGGGGCAGAGCTATGCGGGACCTACATCGTATTTAAAAGCAGAGCTGACATGTGAGCTTTTCGCATGAACCTGATCCCAAAACCAAATGGCTGTGGGACTTCCCGACAACGAAAGTCGACTCAACAGTGAGTGAGTGTGTGTGAGTGAGTGTGAGTGAGTGTGTGAGTGAGTGTGAGTGAGTGTGAGTGAGTGTGAGTGAGTGAGTGTGAGTGAGTGTGAGTGAGTGAGTGTGAGTGAGTGAGTGTGTGTGAGTGAGTGTGAATGTGAGTGAGTAAGTATGAGTGAGTGTGATGAGTGTGAGTGAGTGTGGGTGAGTTTCTGAGTGAGTGTGAGTGTGGGAGGAGGAGGGAGGAAAAGGGAGGAGGGAGGAGGAGGGAGGAGGAAGGAGGAGGAGGGAGCAGGCGGGACAGCCCCAAAAACAAGAACCCCACACAAAGATGTGGGGAAAAACATCAGTACCAAGAAGCTGCCTGTAAGTATATGGCATTCAAAAAACACATGTCCCTAGATCCTGAACTCTATATACGTACCCTAATTACGTCCGAAACTGTAACCATACACGAAACACCGGGATCCTAAAGTTCATTACTAACTAGATCAAGATCACAAACCATACCCCACGAAACAAAGCAAGAAGGTTTATCGAAAACGTGGCATCCCTAAGCTGCACAGATTTCACCTCAGACCTTACAGTACACGATGCCAAGGGCCTCGTCCTTGGTCCTTCTTCACAAGGCCATGCAGGGCCTAAGGGTCTTGCTATCAGGGAGTAACCAAAGATGGAGCGGCAATCCCATGTGCTATGTAAGCTTGATGAACGATCGAATTTGATGGAAGTTCATGAGAAACAAAGGTTTTGTTGCAGAGCTGGATGGGTTTGTGCTTCATAATTTTGGCACAGACGGAAGGCGCATGAAGAACGCGAGACATTTAACTCCGTCAGCTGATGAAGTTTGCCGCAGTGCTCTCTTTAAATAGACCCTAAGCCCCTAAGCCCTAAAATTCTGAGAAGATGTGCTGCAGCGGACAGGCGCTGAAGCAAATGGAGCAGGCAGGGAAGCGAAGATCAAATCAAGTGCTAGTTCTCAAGCTGCCTGAAGACACGAAGATGGTACCAATCCAGTTTTACTTGGGCTCGAAGCTAGGCTGACCCCAATCTCGCAGATGTTTGCAAAATTTAGCCGAAGTGTTTCTGAGCTGCCGGGAGAAGTGATGTAGACACCTTGTCGCCCTCAACACGCAAAGCCAAAAAGCTGTTTGCCAGCCCTTTGCAATCATGCTGCGTGGACATTGGCAGACAGTGAATTCCAAACCGTCCTGCAAGCTTCAATCTGAGATTCCATCTACTGAAGTATATGTTCAGTTCATGCACCCAAAACAAGGCCGAGCGCGATGAGGCTGGCTTGGAGTCAAAGTGGTTCTCCCTATAGTGCAATTGTTGATGGAGTTTTTCTGAGGTGTGGGTGTGCTGGGTTGGTGCCTTAAATCGTATTTATCCAGGAACTCTAGGAAGACCAAGGACACCAAAGTCCAGAGGCCCAGTCAATATATTTTGTTGCTGTTGTGTTGCCCCAAGCAATTATCTTGGGCCCTAGCCCATCTAGAAGGGTGACGTCCGAAACCCTCAAACCCTCAAGCCTTGCGTAAGATGCGCCTGAAGCGGCTCAATGTGGCGGCAGTGAATATGAAGCCGGGACCTGCAGCGAATAGGGCTTAGGTTTAGGGTTCTAGGTGTTCAGGGTTTGGGGTTTAGGAGGGCTTAGGTTTGGGGTTCTAGGGGTTTAGGGTTTGGGGTTTAGGGTTTAGGGCTTAGGTTGAGGGTTCTAGGGTTTGGGCCCCCTTAAACGCGAACCCCCAAGGAGGCGAGCAGTTTGAGGGGGCTTCAGGTATAAGGGTTGAACAGCCCTAAACCCTAAGCCCCAAGCCCTAAACCCGTTTCGGGTTGAGGGTTTTTTCAAGCGTTGAGGGCTGGGACCCTGGGCTTTGGAAGGGTTGAAGGGTTTCATTTGTTTGGTTGACCAGGCCCTAAGGCCTAAACCGTAAAGCCTAAGCCCTAAACCTAAACCCAACAGGGTTGATTCTGCTTGTTCTCCTGTGTTGGATGGGGACCCCACCACTTAAACAACCCTCAAAACCTGACACCCCAAGACTTAAGTTCCCAAAACCCTACCCCCTAAACCCTTACCGTGAACCAAACCCTCGAACCCTCGAACCCTAAACCCTAAACCCTGAGCAACAATGCCAAGGCAAAAGCTCACAAGGGGCTTCCTCGCCCGCCGGCAGTACCAGCGCTTCTACAGTTTCAAGGTGAGTTTAGGGTTTAGGTTTTAGGGTTTAGGGTTTAGGGCTTAGGTTAACGGCCGGGTGAAGCGCCAGAAACCTTGAGGAGGGCAGGATAGGAGCCGGAGCATAGGCTCCTCAAGCAGCAGTCCGTCCGGATGCCCTTTGAGTTTGGGCTTAATCACCTCATCCTAATTTGTATAGTGTGATTATGAATATTATTATTGAATGAGGATAGACACGTGCCCCCACCCCCCCAATAAAGAAACAGCCACGCCCTCTGATGTGCCCCCTGTGTTTTTGCTGTCCTCCTCGGCCTGCCGCGCCGTGATTTCGTCGTCTAACCCTGCCGGAGCCTGCATCTCTGCAGAAGGTGAAGTAGTCTTCACAAGCACCTGCAAGGAAGAGACATGAACTGCAGAGAGATGCTGCATGCACTGAGTATCTGCATCTCCTACGACAAAGAGCTGCCTTTTTGTCTTTTGCTGCATGCTCAAAAACTGCATGTTTATCTTCTGCTGCATGCTCAAAAACTGCATGCTCTTGCTCTCCAAACACTACTCTGCAGAGATGGCCTGCACAGATGCCCTGCAGAGATAACCTGCAGAGGTGGCCTGCAGGTGGCAGATGCCCTGCAGGCCTACAGCACTGCATTCACCAACGCGCGAGCTGCAGTCTCTTCAGCATTGGCTGCTGGAGTCTGCAGCAGTGCCTGCACTTCTGCGAAGCGGTCTTCGATCTGCACCACGATGGCCTGCATGCCATGGGCCTGCACGGCTGCAGTCTGCCTCATCTGCACAAACTCTGCACGAGTCGTGCTTCTCCAAAGCGGACCTGCAATCTGCATTGGCCCTCCAGGGGTCTGCAGCCCCCTGATGTTCGTCACGCGTTCTGCAACTCAGCCTCCTCTGGCTGCAGGAGGAGGTCCCTGCACAGGACAAGTTTGACTTCCAACATCTGCAGCCTCCAGTACGTGCCCGGCTCTGCCAGGAGCTGCACTGCTCCCCTGCAGGAGGACTCCATGCATGCCTGCAGTCGTCGCTGCAGCCAGATGACTGCACTCGCTTCTGCAGCATACTGCTGCAAAGCTTGGCCTGCATGGCGGGACACGTCGTTCTGCAAGCCTCCAGCACGGTCCTGCCTCAACTCCGCTGCAGTCACTGCAGTCTTGACAGCATACACTGCATCTTCCATGCCCTGCATTCTGTCTTCGACTGTCTGCTTCATGGCTGCTGCAGCCGCTTCGATCCTCTTCACTGCAGCCTCTGCAGCCTCTGCAGCCTTCTCCAGGGTCGCTTCAAGTCTCTTCATGGCATAGTACCCTGCACCCAACATGGCTGCAGCAACTGTTCCAAAGGTGTACAGTGCCATGTCTGCACTAAGGGCTGGCTGCTACACTGCTGCTACACACTGCAATGGGCCTGCAGGCTCTCGGCACATGCAACTCTGCAACTTGCTGCTGTCTGCACTTTAGGCACCTTCCTAAAACTACCTGCACAGTCTCCACTAACACACCTCTGCAACCTGCACTCCTGGCTGCGAACTACACTCTCTCACCCTGCACCCTGGCACCTCTGCTGCGGCTTCTGCATCTTCATGTGGGATTTCTGCACGAACTTCATCCTGCATTTAGGGTTTAATTAGGGTTTAGGGTTTAGGGTGTAGGGGGCTTAGGGGGTTTAGGGGGTTTAGGGGGTTTAGGGGGTTT